TACATAAAGATAATCAATTACAAAAAGGCGCTCGTGGGTTGACCTTCTGACCCCCATCTCTAAGTACAGCCACGATCGCTGCTTTTTTATCTGGATTTTGAAGTTTCGCTTTTCCGACAATCTCCTCTTGTCTTCTTTTTAAAGTTCTGTTGTTATATAATATCTGGTGACTTGGCGAGTGGCGAGCGGTGTTTAAATTGATGAAACCTCCCACATATTTTCTTACGGTTGCTAAAATCTCCCTTCAAGCTTGTTAGTTGTTGTTTAAATTGATGAAACCTCCCACATATTTTCTTACAGTTGCTAAAATCTCTCTTCAACCTTGTTAATTGTAATCATCTTATCCCCGATAGATATCCAACTTTTTCGACTCGATGGGGTCGGGGATGCGGCTGATGGGGATTGGGGTCGGRATGGGGAATTAAGGGTGTCGATGGATCCTTTTGTCATAGTTATAAATAGATCCTTTCATTATAAATTTTCTGATATAGTTATCCTTTTGTTAGAATTAAGGGTATCGATGGATTGGTTTTGGGTTAGAACCGTTCAAATTATTGGATAGAGCAAAAAAACATTGAATTGGAAGATTTAATAGTCCAAAATATTTATTGGATTTGGCCCACCCGTAATTTATTTATGTTGGATTGGGTTGGAATGAAACCAATATCCAGTCCATTAATAGAAAATTGAAGATAAAAGTATAGGTGTCAAAAGACTAAATTTGGGTTGAAACTAATCTAAATTAATTAAAATTAATCCAAACATTGAGTTGTACTGGTTCAAAGTATTCATTAGATTGGATTTGATTGGACTTGGTCTATCTGTAATGAACTCATATTGGAATAGATCAGATTGGACCAAATTCGGTCAATTGACATCCTTAGTTAAATCCTTTAACAAGAGCCACAAAAGTGTCCAAAATACCCATATAGCAACTTTTGACTAAAATGCTTATTTTCCAAAATTCCTCATCATATCAATCGCTACCCCAAATCATTCCAATCCCTTTCCAAATTTGATTTATTTCCAAATTCACCCTTTATATCAATCATTCATAGGTAAAGCTGCAAGCTTTAAACTCTTTTTTTTTTGTTGCTCATAAATTTTGTTTTTTTTAGAAACCACAGCCTCAATAGTAATTGCATGGGTTCTCTTGGAAAAAAAGTAACTGCATAGGTATTTTGTAGGTCCAATCTAGTCCAATATGAATCCGTTACAGAAGGAATAGGTCCAATCCAATCTGATAAATACTCAGGACCATTTTGAACCAGTCCAACTCAATGTCTAATTCAAATTGATCTTAATTAATTTAGATTGGTTCCACCCCAAACCTGGTCCATCTGCATCTATAATCTTATCTTCTATTAATGGATTGGATATTGGTGCAATCCAACATCCAATTCATCAACCCAAAATTGATTAATTGGCACCTCTAATTTTAAACATTTTAATACTTCTTGTTAAAGTATTTTACCAGAAAGGATATACTTGCAAATATATCAGAAAATTTAGGAAAATGATTACAATTATCAAATTTCTCGAAGGTTTCATTCAGCAATTTACCCTTTTATAATTTTGTTATTGGCGACTGAGGGGCGGTGTTTTGTAATTTTACGCGTACGTAATTACGTATGGATGAAGTGGAAAGGGCTCGGGACCGTTTGTGACGCATGGTTTTGATCAACGTGGAAATGCCTTTTTGCATGATTCGGTGCTTTGCTTTTTTTCCGACTGATTCCTTCTTTTGGGCGGAAAGATTCATATTTTATGTTTGTTCGTGTCCCGACATGAAATCTTTGAATCTCGTTAAGTGGGTGGAGAGTCTGAATCACAATCATGCAATCAGAATGGGTTTAATGGCTGATGGGATGGGACCCATTTTTTAGCAGGTGAGAGAACTATTAATTGTTTGATCTTCACTGTATGGCGGTGATTGAGACCCTACATCCAATTCTGCGTGTGTGTGTGGAGGGTCGGTTGGGGTAGGGGCCTACCGGCTACCACCATATTTCATTTGTCAAAGAGGCAAGTGTATAAGAGAATGTCCCCACACAAAATGCAGAAATAAATTTTGCACTCTGTTTGGGAAGAATACAAATACAGATATCTTCCATGTAAATCCAAAGAGAGCCTATGTTTATGAACCGTGCATATATTTGTATTTGCATTAGATGTATTTATACAAATGTAAATAGTGCCTATTTGTAAAAACCGTGCATATTTGTATTTACACTAAATACTATTTACATTCTTTTCAAATGGAGTTTAAGGAGAAATTATTGATTGGGCTTAGTTTATAGAGTGTAAAGCTTTATATTTTGTATTATTTTGTATGTATTTGTATTGTATATATTTTGTATTTGTATTTCTTTCAAATTAAACTTTGGGCTGCGTTTGGAAATCATACAAATGGAGTGTAAATCCTGGTTTAAGGTAAATTTGCACTCTGGTTCACTTTTGTCTGTATTTGGTAAGTTGGTAATATTATATTTATGCATTGACAAATGACTGACCAATGCATATTTACATTGATAATAAGATGTGAAATACATCAATAAAAAAGAAGTAAATTTGCATTCAAGTGAGCTTTTGATAAAAAAAAGTTAGTATGTTTTATTGGAATTCATGTTTACATCCATTACAGCTAAAAATCTGTTTGGTAAAAATATAAATTTGTCATTGCAAAACTAACATAATTTTACAATTTATATGAACCGTTTTACACTCTACATATTTGCATTCACACTTATTTGCATCGTTTCCAAACACAGCCTTGATTTCAAAAATAGAGAGAGAGAAAGAGAAAGAGAAAGAGAGAGAGAGAGAGAGAGATTTCCTTTGGACGATTTCTTGTACCCAGAATTTCTTTTCTTAAGAGATTTCCATAAAATGCAAAAATAATATGATTTTACTAATATGACGGCTTTCTTTTGTTTTAAGAAACAAAATTGTATTTTGTACATATTTGTCAATAACTCCTTAATGGAACTAGTTTTTCTATCTACCTATCCTTTGAAAATGAAAAGAGACAACAAAGAAAATATTGGTTTTCACCGTTTTCAAATTGTAGAAACAACAATCTTGAAAAACTACTTCCATAATGCATCACTTTTGTTTGGATAAACTTTTGCTTTTGAGCTTTTTGGGATGTGGAAATTAAAATTGAGTCATAACGTGTTTTTAATGTTTGGTAAGAGTTGATTTTTGAGGTAAAAACATTTTTAAACAGTGTTTTTCAACCTGCCACTGACCCTAATAGTTGAGCCATCACCCACTCAAGATTTTGTGTCTGATTTTTCCTAAAACCTGGGGTTTGATAAAAAAAACCGTTGATTTGGTCAAAACCTGCTTGATTTGGGTATTTGAATTATCGATCCATTTGACTTGATCATTGGGCCATGGGCTATACACGGTTAAAGCTCGATCGACTTGGCTGTTTGATTGGAGTGATCTTTGTGTCGATTTTGGATAGTTTTTCGTGATCTACAAATCTCATGGTGCCCCAAAAGCTTCTCTCCCCACTCTTTTTGCCCAAAATAACATTTTTACCCTCAAGCCCCAATTTTTAACATTATATATATATATATGCTTATCACAAGGTGACCTGCAAACTAGAGGTAAAAGCGGTTCAATCTTTGGATTGATTTTTGAAACATTCCTTCTAATACCCAAAATACAAAACCTAAAATTAGGGTTTTGTGTTTCTGAGCCTTGAAATCACAAATTTTGAAGCTTATCCCAACACAAGAGACCATTACTACCACATCCAGAATTTTTATGCTTCAACCCCCCCCCCCGCTCTGCAGATTAGATAGATTCATGGATTATTTTAAGTCTTGCTGTACCCTGTACATCATACATACAATTAGTTCAACTACAGCCTGTTTGGCTCCTAATATTTTATAAATTAGGAAAACACTACAATTTTGATAATAAACTGTTGAGGTTCACAGCAGTTGATTTAGACCTCTCTGACTCAGGAAGAGTTTGTTTGGTCCAGCTTTATATCCCCTCCCCCACAAAAATTGAAAACTAAGTGTTGGATGCTTGAGAGTTAAGCCATGTAAAACTACGCGAAAACTCGAGTGACATAAGCAATTGCGATCCCCATGCTTGACCCCTACTTAGCTCATCAAATACATACAATACTAACCAAGGGAGAACTTACTGACCAAATCAGTGCTTAGACCCAAATCAAGAATTCATGATGATTATGTGGCCTGACTTATCAGGGCCATTATTTCATGTGTCTTTTTATAGTGAAGGATCAAAATTTTGCAACGTATCGACTGATACATATTGATACATTTCATCTTAAATATCAATTTGTATCGATATTTTGAAATAGGCTTCGATTATGATATAGAAAATATATAATATCCGAAAAATAATTGATCAATACATTCGAATCATAAACATGATAACGAATCAAGTGTGATTTATCAAAATTCATAAGTGGTTTTTGATTGATCAAAACTCTTTCCATATCATATCTTTTCCGTATCATAGGTTTTTCCTTTGAACTAATTAAAAAATGGGTCTTTCCATCAAAGCATCAGATTGATTGGATCACTAAAGGAAATCTGATTAATAGGCTTGGTCTAGTCTGCTCTGCACATAATCAGAAACTTAACAGAGCCATGACCCTATGACCCCATCACCCTTTCTCCCATGGTCTCTTCTGTAGATGCATAGAATCTCAATAGAACAATTAACTAATTGAGCCTCACACTATAGCAAAGGACTAGAAATTTCACAGGCACCAGTCCCTGCCTCTATCCAACCACACACACACAGGAATGATAAAACAAAACAAAATAAATAATAGGAAGATGACAAGCAAGATGAGATGGATTGAGTGTTTTTTTCTTTCATTTTGACCAGCCAAATTAATTAGCAACCAAAAAGGAATTCAGATGATAATAAATAAACATCAAAAGTGAAAACGATGAAAACATAAAACGAGTTGAGGAGAAACGGCGAGTTTTCTCTTTTGTATGGTCAAGAACACGTGGTTGGAATTTAGCAGCTCTTGATTTGCTCCCTCCCTTTCCATCTCCTCCATCCCCTATAAATTTCATCGGATGAGATAGCATGGAGAGCTATAACGTTCTCTTAGATTGTAAAGCATAAGCTTGTGAGTTGTGAAAAAGGAAGCAAGAAGAAAAGCCACTCTGTAATATCCACGACCCAAGACACCAACCCCCCTCCGATATCTACCAGTTTCCAATCTCTTCATTCTTCAATTGGGTTCTTCTACTTTCTCTCTCCGTCTTGTCTCTCATTGTTTCTTCAATCAACCCAAAACCAATTTCATCTCTTCTAGTAACAAGTCTTCACCGCCAAAGGTAAGATTTTTATGTACATTTTTTAATAGTTTGACAGGTTCAATCCATTTTCGTTCATGCTCTTTTAAAACTCGTGCGTTCTTTCAATGAGGATTTCGCAAATAAAGATGGAAACATACAAACGGGTTTTCTGGGTAGTTCATGAAATGGTGGTTCTGTATCTCGTTTGATCAAATTCTGCAACTGGGTTCTTGTTTTTATGTTATTTGTAGAAACAAATCGAAATGGGTTTTCTGGGTTGAAGGTCGTTCTTGTTTTCTTCGTTTTGACCATCTTCAACGACGAGCTTTACTGGTTTTTATTGCAACCAATGAAAAGAGGGAAAAAAAGTCGATTGCTTTTGGTTTGTTCTAACAGGCAAGATCTGTTTTTTTCTGCAGACAAGGTTTTCAGTAAGATCTCCCAGGCTTTATAATCGAAATGGGTATATCTTTGTCCTGTCCCTTTGCTGATTACGATGATCTGGATGACGATGATGGGCGCCAAGCTGTTGTCGTTAAACCCATCAGTTTAGACGGCGAGGATGCCCGGACGACACTGCGATCCGTCAGTTTCAATGGCCGGAATTCAGAACCTACAATAATGAAATCCTCTGGCTCTGGGAAGATGGTCTTAGAAGGTTCTGTCAGCTTTAAAAAGAGCGAAATGGAGACCACGATCTCAATAACAACTCCTTCCACAGACATGGAAAAGAATGTGGCTGGCAGATCAGTCAGTTTTAAGAACAAGAACAGAGAAACTGCCAAGGTATTTCCTGAGCCGGATAACTGTATTGGGAAGGTCTCTCCACAGCCCTCGTTAGATTCAGGCAGCCCGAAGCATGAAGCGGCATTGAGGTTGCAGAAAGTGTACAAAAGCTTCAGAACCAGAAGAAAGCTCGCAGACTGTGCAGTTCTAGTGGAGCAACGATGGTTAGTCTTCAACTTCATCTGTAACTATTTCCCTCTCTCTGTAGCCTGTACTTGTTGAAAAATCCTAATTTGTTTTCTATGCTTAATGTGTATTGCAGGTGGAAGTTGCTAGACTTTGCAGAGCTCAAGCGGAGTTCTGTGTCATTCTTTGACATTGAGAAGCATGAGACTGCCATATCCCGATGGTCAAGAGCAAGAACAAGGGCTGCCAAGGTAAGTTCGGAATGAATTCAGAGGTGCATCTGATAATGCTTCCTTTAACAAAGGCTGAAACTTAAGTAATTCTCTTCTTTTGCAGGTTGGGAAAGGCTTATCAAAGGATAATAAGGCTCAAAAACTTGCTTTACAGCATTGGCTTGAAGCAGTAAGCCCTGGACTTAGAATGGTTCCTACAAATGAAACCTTTAGCTGATGTCCATAAGCTTGTACTGATCTGAATCTTATGTTGTGTCCTTGACAGATTGATCCACGACATCGTTATGGACATAATCTCCACTTCTATTATGTCAAATGGCTCCATTGTGAGAGCAGACAGCCCTTCTTCTACTGGTAAATTTCTATAAACATTCTTCTTCTTCTTCCCTTTGATAACAAGAATTTAGTTGCAGAATCAGATCTAATTCATGAAACAATTGCATGAATTTGAAAATGCAGGCTGGACATAGGAGAGGGAAAAGAGGTCAATCTTGTTGACAAATGCCCTCGATCAAAGCTTCAACAACAATGCATCAAGTACCTTGGTCCGGTAAGCCTCAATTTGTTTCTGTAGAGTGCATGTTTCACAAGGCTGGGAATTAGTTTCTTACAGTTATATGCTTGATTTTCAGATTGAAAGAAAGGCTTATGAAGTTGTAGTGGAGAATGGGAAGTTCTTCTACAAGCAGACTGGAAAAGTTCTCGACACATCTGAAGGACCCAAGGATGGTAAATGGATTTTTGTCCTGAGCACATCCAAGAACTTGTATGTTGGGCAGAAGAAGAAAGGAACGTTCCAACACTCCAGTTTCTTGGCTGGAGGCGCCACTTCTGCAGCCGGGAGACTAGTTGTGCAAAATGGTGTATTGAAGGTATAAAGCAATTTCTGATTCAATTTTCTTCTTATCTTCAAGATCCAATGCTTTATTGTGGCTTTTATCTTATGCACAGATAAGGTTGTTTAACCAGGATTTTCTCTCGACTTCTAAACAGGCAGTCTGGCCACATAGTGGACATTATCGTCCAACGGAAGAAAACTTTCAGGAATTTATGACCTACCTCAAGGAACATAATGTGGATCTCACTGATGTTAAGGTATAAAAGTTTTGCCTTCACTTTTAGTAATTTCATAATCTACTCAGAAGGAAAACATAGTCAATTGGGCACAGTCTGATGGAATTCTATGTTTTCTTTTAATTCTTTTTTTCCAGAGAAGTCCAACTGACGAGGAAGAAGACTCATTAAGAAAGCAGAGGAGCAGCATTGGTCTTAGAGAGAACTCCTCCGAACAAGACTTGACTCAGGAAGTGACGGATTTTGAGGCAGAAGACATCAATTCCGATGACTTGATTCAAGAACCAACTGATTCTGCTAAATTAGTTAGCGATTCTGAACCAGAACCAGAGGAGTCGATGAAGACTCATAACCTGAAAAGCAAATTGAGTAACCTTAAAATACCAAAAAGAAATGATCTGTTTGAGACGTCAGTGAACCAATGTCTATTGGATGGACCAAGTTGCAACAGTCTCTCAGGGGAAACTTCATCTAATGGCTGTGAAACCGCAGAAGATTTGATTATGCCAGAGCAAGATTATATGGTTCCCAAGAGGAATTTGTTTGAGGAAGATCAAGAAAAAAATGAAGATGAAATTATTCCAAAAGAATCAATCCTCCAGAGGATAAATTCAAAGAAGGGAACAAAGTCATATCAACTGGGGAAGCAGTTGTCTTGCAAATGGACAACGGGGGCTGGACCCCGTATTGGCTGCTTGAGGGATTACCCATCTGAGCTCCAATTCCGAGCTCTGGAGCAAGCAAACTTGTCTCCAAGAAGTGATGGGTGTTCTAGAGCTTACTCCTCTCCTAGAAGCTTAAAAGGACTGAGCCCAAGGGTATCAACACCAACTTCTTTGTGGAGAGAAACAACACCAACCATAAGAACTAATCTTAGATGAGGAGGGACAACTCCCTAATGATCTATTCTTTTGTTTGTAGACAAGATTATACAAGAATTCTTTTTGTACCATTAATTTTTTTTTTTAATTCTTTTGTAGATCCTGTTGTGAATTTCAAAATTGTAGAGTCTTTTGGGCTTTAGTTCCCTCTAACAAAGAAATGACTTAGATTCTTTTTATCAACACTTGGTATGATGATATCATGGAAGTGCTTCTCATGCCTGTGTCCTGAACTTTCTGTCTACTTTAACCGTTTATAATTTTATCCTTGTCAACCTTGGCCATGGGATATCTGAGGATCATCAAATGATGAGCCTCAGTTCTGAAACTACTTCCTCCTGTCAACTTATTCAAGAACTGCAGTTTTATGTTCCTAAAAAGGGCATTTTCTGAGTATGATCTTCAACCATGAACAGAGCTGACTTTGATAAATTTGACTTCATTTTGGGCTTTAGAAAAGTATGTAGTATTCTGTCTGTGGTAGGATAATGGAAATTGGAAACCATTTCTTTCCGTGTACAGTAAGAACTCAAAGAAACTACTTTGCATTCTACACCAGTATAGAACTTCTGAAACGAAAACAATGTTCAAATAGTGATTTTCTTGGTAATTATAAGCTTGGACTACATACCCATAAGTTCGATTTGAATTAAATACAGTTGACTTCATTTCAAGTGTGGGGTAGTATTAAATCCTTCACTTGTAACAGGAGTAACTTTGTTTGAGGAGCAAGTATAGATTAACAGAAACCGTGTGAGAAAGTGCAGGGAATCAAATTTTTCTAATCTTTCCGCGTCAAGCAAGAATTCAAAGAAATTTACTTGCTTAGTTGCTTATTCATGTCCACATCAAAACATGGAATACCTGAAAATGACAGTAAAATAAATGAGATAATGCCGAAAGGACTTTTACTTGGTCTATTTTCGTATCCTTTTGGAGAGGTCTTTTTGGGACGGAGGTGGTAAAGAACAAGTCGACGTAGATAAGTTCTTGATGGTGATGTTTGGCATCCACATCTTGGGGAGGAAAGCAGATTTCATATCATCGGTTGAGAAAGATTCTTCTGTATTTTAATCAATCAAGTCACCGAATCCTGAGACCAGGTTCATTAGAAAGCATTAAAGAAACTCTTAAAGCACCAACTACTCCCTCTATGCCTTTTTTGCGTAGAGATGAATTCCTTGCGCAAGAAACATTGAAGAAGCTCAAGAAGATAAACATATTTGTTGCTGTCAAAGATGGGACTGAGGGCAATAAAGTAAATTCACTAAGTAAATTCACTGACATCCGATGCTGATGGGTCCAACCTATGAGTAGGCGAAGAGAACACGTCAGACGCCCCAGGTGTGATCCCAGGGGCGGAGACTCTGACGGTCAAATTAGCCAGGTGCTTAAAGAGGGGTTAGACTAGACTTGAGACAAGGGCTCAAAGCTTAGTCCTTAAGAGCTCAGACGAGGTCTCTCTCGAATAAGAATGCAAGAGAGTAAGACTGAACAAGACGGATTTACCTTGAACTGGGCACCCCCCCTTTTATAGCTGACCTTGCCATGGAGTGGTCGGAGGCAGTTAGAGATGAATGGCCAGAATCACATCCAGCTGATGCCACATGGCACAATCCGGGGCCGCACCATATGCGCCTACATCAATATTCGTGTACCTCTTATAGGAAACACTAAAAATCAATGTTGAATGTTGTCGACTCCGATCTGATAGAGAACTGTTTTGGTTACTGGATCACAGGTTGAATGGTTTCATCCTTTGGTTCAACCATTCAATTCATTCAGAAAAATTGAACATGGTTCTAGATTAGTTTTGAAATCTACTTCAAATCAAAATAAACTTTAAAACAATAAGTACTACAGAGTATGATACATACTAATACATGTAAATGGGGTAAGTTTGACTGTATCAACATTTCTAAGAACTGGACAACTGAAAACCCATTTTGGCTGCCATTGCCGGTTCTGGTGGTCCAACTATGGTGCTGGAATCTAGCTGGTCTGTCTAAGAAAGGGAAAGCTATTTGGGGAGTTATTCCACCAGCTATGTTATGGTCAATACTAGATAGATAGAAACAGGAGAATTTTTTAAGGCAAATACAACATAATAGATTCGCTAATGAAGGGTTTTTGTAGCAAAATATAATCTTGGGTGGCATCACATAGACTGTTCAAGAAAATACCAAACAGCTATGTTTTAGGTATCAGTAATCTTCTTGTATCCAAGGTTCAAAATATCTATACACGTATGTGTATCGGCAGAGATGTATCAATACTTAAAAACGATACTCCTATTTTTTTTAGTTTTTTTTCAAGTTTCAGTTCTACACATATTTTTATATATTATTTAAAAAATGTGTTTCCAAAAACACTGTAAACAGATGTATTGAGGACCAAAATATATAAGGGGTATATCATATGGATACTTTGAACCTTATTTGTATCTACTTGATTGAAATGAAATTTCTAAACTCTGCTCAGGGCCTTATCGTGCAGGACTTCTATTTGATTTGTTTTTCTTATTAATGAAATATTATAACTTTTCTCTAAGAAAAAAAAAAAAAAAAACTATTTAGTCCAGTTTGAGCTTGGCAGCATTGCTGAAGTATCAATTAATCAAGATTCAAGAAAGCATGAATATTTTAGAGATGTTATGCTTTTTGATATGCATAACAATTGCAATCTGAAAACAAAGTTCAAAAAATTGGGGTTTGTAGTTTATGCATTGAGAGAGAGATTGTTGGATTCATGAGCTTTTCTTTTTTTCCTTTGATCTCTTTTGTATCTTCTTGTTCTAACCGTGACTCTAGCAAGGTTCAAAGTATCCATATTGGTAGGGATGTTAATGGACCAGTTTCGGATTGAAACCCATTCAAATCAAAATCAATTTGGATGGATTACTCTTTAGTCTAGACTTAATGGTCCAAAATGATTGGATTGGATTAGACCTGGTCCATCCATAATGGATTTATATTGAATTGGGTCAGATTAAACCAATATCCAGACCAGAAACTAAGAATATATGCGTCAATGGACCAGGTTTGAGCTGGAATCAATCTAAATTAAAACCAATTTGAACAGAATGGACGTCCTAGACATTGAATTGGACTGGCCCAAAATGGTCCAGAATATTCATCAGATTGGATTGGACTTGGCCCAATTGACACCCCTACATACTGGTGATACACAAAAATTGTGTTATCACCCAATTTTGAACATCAATATTCTCTGAAAACAAAAATATTTAAGAACTTTGAACATAATCATTCTTCCAAATTCTCAGTATTTCACACATCGTCCACCCTGAAAACAATGCATATTGAACATGTAATTGGCTACCATTAGCAATAAGAGACCAGCCCACTAAAAGATAAAGCAACAAGCCATTTAGTTCAGTAACAGCTGAAGTGAGCTAACTGAATGATTAATTGCTTTTCCTTTTGTGAACAAGTCATTAAGTGATCAAATAGCTTGTGAGCTCCTTGCCCTATTATTAAAGACTGAAATCAATAAGTTATTCAGTTCAGCTTCTTCAAGTAGAACACAAAGAAACAAAGTCACAAACAATCAGTCATTAATGCTTTTTATGAATGATTCCTTGATATTCTATAGTTTCAAATCCAAATTATCAACGACAGGGTTCATGAATAAACAAGCAAGGAACCAAGATGGGTTTAAAGATTTACTTGGTTTAGTTGTTTTCTTCATTAGTTAAAGCGAATGAACGAAACTAAACAACCAACTCACCACATCGAAATTTGGTGATAACCATCTTTGCACCAAAACTGGCACCGCGTCAACCTTCACAGGACAAGATGAGAGCATCTGAGAATGCTGATATATAAATAGCTTTCTTACTTAAAGGTGAAGAGAACGGCAAACTTGGGAACTAAGTAACCCATTTCTCAGACGCTACAGCCAGGAGCCGCACATCTCATCTTGTTTGTTGCCTTTGATGGGGTTGTACATGAGATGTGCCGTGTGCGGCTGTAGCGTTTTGTGGGTAGCAGATTCAAACTCAAATAAATAAATAAGGCCCAAATTAACAAAGAAAGCCCACCAACAGATGGTGGCTCAGTTGGTAGGTTCTCTGATTCGTCCAAGTAAAGACCTGCGATCAAGTTCTGCTGCCATCAAAGTTGGGGGGGGGGGTTAAGGGAGGGGATGGGCTACCTGCATTGTATAGCCCCATGAAGCAAAAAAAAAAAAAAAAGAAGAAGAAGAAGAAGAAAACCCATAAAAAAAAAGAAAAAGGTGATAAAATGAGTTAAGATCAAATTATAGATATGATCCGGCATATCATATCCATATGCACAGATACCCACTTGAGTGTTTGGTACCATGGTAGAATCTTGTTTTAAGGGGTTTTTATTGTTTAGTCCACTCCAACAAATCCTAGTTCTACCGTACAGTTGGGGTAGGTGCCAGTTCGAAATTGATGCCAATACACGGGCAGGTATTGGTATTATAAGTGGGGATATTTTAAATTTTGAATTGTTGTAGGTCTCAGTTGAATTTGGAATTCTGAGGTGGAGTGCTATATAGTTTTTACTTGTTTTAATTGGTTCTTATAAAGGCGCCATGGTGAAAATGTCTTTTCTTTAAGTGGTGGTTTTGAAATGCAAAATATCATGGATTTTGACATGCATTTATCAACACATAATTGATCACACCATGGCTGTTTGGTACTGTGGTCATTTATTTAAAAATCGTTTTGTATAGAATTTATCTTGAAAAAACGAAAAAAATGATTGATAAACTTTTTTTTTGTTTGTTTGACAATTAAACATTATTAAATGCCATTAGACACCACATAAGCTCAACAGTAAATAAATACATTAATATTGGGAAAACATTAACTCTCACACAAATTGAGACAAAAATTTATATAATATAATTACAAGTTTTAGTAAATAGCAATTTAAAATAAACCCCTATGTAGCAATGAGCTGATGGCATTTTTTTCAAATAAACAGCACGGGACCATACACCATCATAATCTATGATTCAATGTTTTCATAAAACACAACACATGATATGGGGTTCCAGAAAATACAACAGAGTGGTCCAGTTACAGCAGATAACAAATGATTAATTATAACATACAAGTTTGAAATGTCCCTAGTCCCTAGGGCTACAGACTTTTTGCTCTGGGCTCATTGGGCCAAGGCTTTAACTTTGAGTTTGAGATGGAGCTTTTTGCCTTTCTGAAACCAAAACAAGGCCCAGCTCATACTCTCATAGCTGGGCTTGGTCCAAACCCACCCCACTAGATACACAACAAAGTGGGCATCAGCTCAATTTATTAGAGCTGCAAATATGAAATATAGTCCATCAAAACTGATTTGTTTATATATTCGGATCCATCAAATTATTGCGTATCTGGTTTATATGGATTATAGTGGAATTTGGGCTGTAATAGAATATTGAATAGTATTAATATATTAACAAAATGATCAACATTTTATGTATTATTTAACAAATGAACTAAAATGATTTTAATATTGTTTACTACGAAGAAAATATATTAAAAATAAATTTTATGAACCTTAAACCATTGAATCTAATAAAAATACAACAAATTAAATCAATTTTACTAATAGCTGAATTATAAATTTCAAGTATATATATATATATATATATATAAAGCGATTCAAATTAGGGCTGTCAATGGATTGGGTCTACCCAATAGAACCAAACTGATTATGCCAGTTTTGGTTTTTGGGTTTTGTACTCATTAATAATTGGATCGATTCTAGTTCTTGTTTGTTTTGAGCCGATTATTTTGATAATAATATATAAAGCTTTTCTAGTTTTCTTATAATTTTTATTATATTTTATGTCCAAAGTGCAAATTTAATATATAATGCATAAGATAATTTTAGTTAAAAAAAGTTGATTTATTAACATTTAAATAATTTAGAATTTTATTGTCATTTTTATTAAGGCTATATTGTGAAAAATTAAATTTTAGTTTTATCATACATATATAGGCGAAGGGTGTCTAATCTCAGCCGTCCAAGAGTTTGGACTGGTCTATGACCGTTGACCACAACTTTTAGCAAAGTCCAAAGATATATCTTATCATGATCGTATTTCGGTGGCAGCCCGTCCAATGGCGGCCGTGTTGGCTCCAACTCCTCACGCGCTGCACAATCGAAGAGCATTTTCACTTCCACTCTCAAAATGCTGCCACCGGCAACGCCTATCGGTGGCTCGAACAGCCTCGGCTCCCCTCCACCGGAGAACCGACCGGCGGTCGGAGTATACCCCACCCGTGGCAACAAATGAATGGTCTTTCGAACAAAGAATACAAGAGGCCCTCAATGTCTTGGAGCTCATGGAAGCCCAAGGCATTGAGCCGGAGCCCAGCTTGTTTTGCATCCTTCTCAAAAGCTGTGCTGATGCAGAGAATCTCGAATTCGGAAAAACAATTCACAGCAAAATCGTTGGAACCGAACTGGAGAATGATGTTTTCGTGGTGAATAATCTCATTAATTTATATGCCAAATGTAGGTGTTACAGAACTGCTCGGAAGTTATTCGAGAAAATGCCTGTTAAAAATGCTGTCTCTTGGACTAGCATCATTTCCATGTATAGTCAATCGGGTTTTCATGAGGAAGCACTTAGACTCTACAATATGATGACGTCAGATGGTAATGTCAAGCCTACCGTGTTTACTTATACTATAGCTTTGAATTCTTGCGCAAAGTTGGGTTATTTAGCAATGGGTACTGAAATTCACAAGGATATCAAGATGGATAGGTGTGAAAGTGATGATTTTATTGTCACAGCACTGATTGATATGTATGCCAAGTGCGGCAGCATTGATGAAGCACGCCAAGTATTTGATAAGATAGATGAACCAACAGTTGCTGCTTGCACTGCAATGATAGAAGGTTATAACACAAACAATCAAGCTGACAACGCCATGAGATTTATTCGAAGGATCTTGCAATCTGGGTTAGATTTAAAGGTTGCAAAAGAGTTGGGTTTTACCTGTATGATACGGTCTTGCACCATGGAAGCTACTCTTAGACAAGGGCAGGAAATCCATGCTCACATGATTAAATTTGAGTACAAGCCAGGGCTGCTGACTGTAAATGAGCTTATTCTGTTGTACGAGAAATGCAATAAGATGGTGCTTGCACGGCGCCTCTTTGATGAATTGCTAGTAAAGAATGTTAAATTATGGGGGAGAATGATTTCAGGTTACGTCCGAAATGGGTTGAATCAGGAAGCATTGGAGCTTTACCTTGACATGGTGGCTGGAGACGTTGAACAAAATTCATTTGTTCTTTCTTGTGCCCTTGATGCATGTACAAGTATCATGGGTTTGGAGGAAGGAAAGCAGATACATGGTCGAGCAATCAAAACTGGTTATGACCTATGTGATGATTCTCTTGATGCTAAACTTGTAAAGCTGTACACTGAGTGTCGGAAGGTCGCATAACTTCTGGTGTATGGCTTCATCTGCTGATAATTGCCTTCTTTTTCTTCATTTTCCATGGATATTGGAAGTAGAACTCTCCAACCCTTAGAATAGAATTCTCAGTGCTAGTGTAATACATTGTAACACCTGGCGCATGCTCCTTACCTGGGCTTCAGGGACACAAGCATGGCAGCTTCAGCAACTACCATAACACCCTTCAGAGTATCCCACCTCAAAGTTGAATTTGTTTAGTTTATGTATAGTTCTAGAAGTCTACCATCACAATGGACCAGGATTGTTTTGTGTAGCTTAATCTTTCTTCATATTGTATTGATTAACATGGTTTGCTATTTGCTGCTTTCTTAGGATTTAAAGAGTAGACTGTTTGGCTGCTTGATTGACAAGTGGAATGCAATATCATTTGACATTTTGTGTTTAGATGATTCTTGCAACCTTTTAGTTTATCAGTAGTTTTTTTTGGACTTACACATTTTTATTGCATTCACCTATGGACGTACACATCTTACTGAACTGCATAATCTTATATTTATGTTCTTAATTCTTCTTATTTTAATATATTACTATATTGCCATTAATCCATAGTCATACATCTGTAGAATAGGTGATACAGAGCTTGGGGTTATATGCAATAAATGATATTAAATCTCGAGCTTTGGATGTGGTGGCTATGGAGGTCTAAATCATAAGCTTCAAGATAGAGAAATTGATAAAAGTAATAAGTATAATTTAGGTAAAAAAAATGTTTTATCAGCTGATCCAATGAGATCTGTATAAGACATTAATGGAGTTAAAGATTCATGTAAGGATGAACTCAGTTCTTTGCGCAGAGTAATTAATTATCTACTTCACTTGGTCAATATTAAGGTTCATTTATCTGCCTTTTAAGGAGGTGAAGATGACAAAAATATTGGTTTCTGGTTTAAGGTTCATTTGTTCTTTCTCGGGCCTCACACTTCTACATGTGTGTTGTTTTTGAAGGGAAGTGATACGAGACCTAGCAATCAAAAGTGGCTACACTGGTAATTCCGTGGTTGCCAGCCTTGCAAATTTGTATAGTAAGTTTGAATGTGTTGAGGAAGTTCAGACTGTGTTTCAAAAATCTGACTGGACTGGATGGTTGGACCAGGTTTGACTGGAACTGGCCTTTGGTATGGTTTAATCATTGAATCAGTCTGATAAGAAAAAAAATCTATGAAAGGATGCAAACCACCCAGTTCAATGGCAGTAATATTTTGTTTTATTCTAAAAACGTCTTTTGTTGTTTGTATGTCAATTAAGATGTGTTCATGGGCTGGGCTCGAGCTTAGATTTTGCCAAACTTTGAGTGGGCCTGGCCTGAAGCCAGCCCGAAGCCTGGCCCATGAACAGGTCTCTCAGTTTTAAGCAATGTATGACACTAAAACTCTTCTAGAAGTGAACACTTAGTGAAGTGGTTCAACCAAACGAGCAACTCAATTAAGCCTTGTGCCATTCCACTCTGTTGAATGTCAAGTCATTGTTGAATGATGGTCCCTTAAATCATTTTTCACTATCTCAAACCATGCCCTTTTTGGTCTGTCCTTAGTTCTTCTGGGCCCTTTGAACTTGTAAGAAATCACTTTTTCTTATTTGTGTTGTAGATGGTCTTCTTGGTATATGACCAAACCATCTTAGTCTATTTTTCCTCATTTTATCACCTATTAAACTCCTTTCAACACACTAGTAAATTTGCACGTGCTTTGCACGTAGCAAGTTTAGATGATGAAAATAGTAATCTGCATCCAAATTATTTTAAATTTTGTATATATTTATATGTGTATAAAATAATTCTATATTATAGGTGTCCCAAATGTTTTTTACAAATATTTTGTATTATTATCTTTTTTAATTTTTATTATTTAATTATGACATCATGGATTGACCCATTTAACCTAGATGGTTGACCTTACCCACCACCTAGACAACAGGACAATTTCATTTTTTGGTTCAATTAAAAAAAAATGTAATTTATATTGTTAAAAGTATTGGATATAGATCTAATAACATAATTTATCGGTGAGAAAATATCTTATATCATTTAATGAGAGCAAATGGACATTAGTACCTCAAATATATGACTTAATGAGAGGAATTTGAATGAGGTGAAAAATAATAGTTTAAATTATATTTTTTACCCTCGCAATTAAAAAGGGATAAATTCAAATTACATTTTTTACATTTTTATATTTCCATTTGTATAAAAATAATTCTTATTTATGACACTTGTTTTTGTTTAATATGATGAATATACAATATTAGAGATGCACCCAAAACATTTTTTTTTTGCAAAATTTATGTATTTTTTTCATTTTTTCCATTTTTATCATGTTTTGAATTTTTATTATTTAATTATGACATCAAATATTGACACATTTGACCTAAAAGTTGAACTATTGACCTAGACCAAATAGGAAATCAATTTCATTTCTTTTTGTTGGTTTTAAAATTTGTATTTCATTTGCATTATCAATGAAAACAATTTTTGTTTATGTCATTTTTTTTCTTTAATATGATTAATATAAAATATTAGAGAAATGGCCCATTTTTTCTACATATTTTATTTAACTATGACATCATGGATTCATCCAATTGGCCCAAATGGTTGAATTGGCTTACTCACCACTCGAATGGAAGAATGGTTTCGTTTTTTTTTTTTTTGTTAATTTTAATAAAAGGTAAATTACTAAAACTTCCCTTGAAGTTTCTAACCATTGCCGAAATCTCCACTGAAGTTTAGTGATTGCCTCCCTTGAATTTTCTAATATAGTTGCAAGTAGACCCCACCCCTCTTAGAATCCTCTAATAAGAGGCACACAAATGTCCAAAATACCCATATAGTTATTATTGAGGCTAGTTTTTGCATAACAAACAATACAAACTTTAAACAACAAAAAAAAGTTTAAAATTGCAACTTTACCTTTGAGGGGTTCATATGAAAGGAAATTTTATAAAATAAATCAGTTTTAGAAAAGATTGGAAGGGTTTGTGGTAGGGGAGGCCACAAGCCGAGCTCGAGCTTAATATATAGGCTCGTTTGCTAATCGAGCTGAGCTTGAGCTTAATAAAGCTTGGATCGTGAGGCTCACGAGCCTAATTGATTATGTGTACATAGGGTGTCACCTCAACTACTAAGGGAGACCTCGGCTCGGCACCTCGGCACCTCGGCCACTGAGGGAGACCTCGGCTCAACACCTTAACAATTGAGGGAGACCTCAGCTCAGCACCTCGACAACTAAGGGAGATCTCAGCTCGACACCTCGACTGCTAGGGAAGCCTCAACTCGACACTTCAGCAGCTGAGGGAGACCTCGACTGTTAGGGAGACCTCAGCTTGGCACTTCAACAACTGAGGGAGACTTGCAATCAAAGGGAGCCGAGCTTGAACTTCTGAGCTTTTGATTCGAGCTAAGCTCGAGCTCAAGTCTCTAATTCGAATCTAGCTCAAGCTCAAGCTTGATAGTTTATGAGTGAGTTGAGCTCGAATAACCAGATATTCGGCTTTAATCCACCCTTAGTTTGGGGTATTGATTGATATGAAGGGAAAACTTGGGAAATAAACATTTTAGTCAAAGTAATTACATGGTTATTTTGAACATTTTTATGCCTCTTGTTAGAGGATTATAAGAGAAAGTTCAAGAAAGGTTATACTTGCAATTATGTTAAAGTTCAAGAGAGGTGATTGCAATTACCAACTTCAGGGGAGGTTTTCAGCAATGGTTAGAAACTTCAGAGGACATTTTAGCATTTTACCCTTTAAAAACATGGGTTTTATATTGTTAAAATTATTTTTGTATTTGATAAAGATCTAATTATTAGAATTATTAAATGAAAAATACCTCAAGTACAAGATTTAATGGAGAGAATGTGAGTTAATACCTTAAATATAAGACATAATGAGAGGGAATTAAATAAGGTGAAAATTATAAGCGATACTACATTATTAGCTCTTAGAATTAAAGAGGGACTAAATTAAAAAATAGGGGTAGTTTAGTAAAGTTCTACACCCTCATTGGTACTTTTAAAAGTATAAATTAATATACTACATGTATGTATGTATGTATGTATGAAATAAACATAAATAAACACAAAACATTCTGACTTTATGTGGAAATTTTAAATCACAATAAGAATTATTATTATTATTATTATTATTATTATTATTATTATTATTATTATTATTATTATTATTACTATTATTATTATTATCATTATTATTATTATTAAATTTTGTATTCTATTTTCATCATAAATAAAATTAAATTTTATTTTAACAATTATTTTTATTTAATATAATGAATACATAACATTAGAAATATTTCCAAACTTTTTACACAAAATTCTATACTTTACAATTTTTTGTGTTTTATCTATTTTTTAATTATTTATTATTCAATTATGACACCATGAGTTTATTTGAAAATATGGATAATTGACCCACCATCTAGGTAAGAAAATAGCTTTGCTTTTAGATCAATTCTAATTATATATGTCATCTACATTATATAAATAATTTTTACTTATTACACAACCTTTGTTTGGTATAATTAATATTTTAGAGATGTGTACAATTTTTTTTATAATTTTTATATTATTTTGATTATTTGTACTTTTTTACTTTTTAAAGATTTATTATTTAACTATGCCATCATCAGTTATTCCATTTGACCCAACCCACGACCCAAAAAGGAAAATAGTTTGGCTTTTAGATTTTCTATAGTTTTTTTTTTATTTTTGTGATTCTTTTTATTTTCTATTTTTAAAATTTTATTATTTGACTATGACATCATTTCATTTCTATGTTGATTTTAGATTTGACATTCCATTTTCATCATTAATAAAAACACTTCTTATATTTTACACTTGTTTTGTTTAGTATAATGAATATACAATATTAGAGATATGCCCAAATATTTTCATTTTTTCTATATTTTATATTTTATTTATTTTAATTTATTATTATTACATTATGATAGTGTTGATTAAATCATTTAACTCCAAATGGTTGAATTGCTTACCCACCACTGAGAGGGAAGAAAATGGTTTTGTTTTCAAATTATTTTTCAAAATATTTATTTTTATACTATTAAAATTAGTGTTGTTGATTTAATTCGTAGAATTTAATGATGAGAAAATGAATCTCAAATATAGGATTTAATGAGAGAATATAACTTAGATATGAGATTTAATGAGAGAGAAGAGAATAGGAAAATGGTTTTATTTCTAATTGGTTTTAAATTTTATATTCCATTTCCGTTTCCATAATTCATAAAAATATTTATTATTTATCATAATTATTATTGTTTAATATGTTGAATATATGATATTAAAAACGTTCCTAAATTATTCTTTAATTTCTAAATTATTTTTGAATTTTTATCTATTTTTTGACTTTTTATTATTTAATTGTGGCAACATGAGTTGACCCATTTAACCCAACATGGTTTAATTTCTTACCACCACCTAGATGATAACATTATTTTTCCATGTATATTTTAAAAGTATAAGTTTTTATTTTATTGGAATTATTAATTTATAATGTATGACTTTTAATTAGTGGAATTTAGTGATGATAATAAATAAAAATACTTTAAATATATGGTTCAATGAGGGTGAATGGGAGTTAATACCTTAAATATGGGATTTAATGAGGGAATTGAATGCATTGAATAATAGTATTAAATTTACATTTTTTACCCTCAAAATAAAGGGACCTTATTTCAAAAAAGGGGGTATTTTAGTCAAGAAAAGTTCAACAATTTTAGAGGCTATTCGTACTTTTTATAATAGTATATATTTATTCTTTATCCTATCATTTCTAGTTGCTCCACTCACCTATCTCAATATTCACATTTTTGCTACACTAATATTTTGACATGTTTCTTAACTGTCCAACACTCTATTGCACATTGTTGGCTTTATAATTGATGAGGGGTAATTTAGTCCTCCAATGACATCATGACACATGGCATCATAGAATAGTTGGGTGACACCTAGGCATCACATAAGCAGATCATCTCAGACACTTAACAAACTGCATCAGTGACCTCGGGGCCACCCCGGTAGACCGAACTACAAGCAAATAAATGGGATTTCAGGTTAGTGTATGATGCAACCTGCTTCCACCGGACTACCCTAGTCTTGTCAAGACGTTAGGTCGGCATGAGAGGCAACCCGCTTTTGCCGACCTAACCTGAGTTTAGCTAGTGACCTATCGGGTGACCTCTTCCTTAAGAGGGTTACTGTCTCCGACTTCTCCGAGATCATGATGTTCGACTGTTAGACCCATCTTTCCGTATCGACTGCATTGGAGTTGATCGGATGGACCTTATCCCTCTGTGTGGATCACGTATCCAGCTGAGAGATCTCCTTTGAACATGGCGAACACAGCTTCTCGGGAATGTCGGACGTGTTACTAGAAGCTCCTAGTTTCTTATGCCTATATAAAGGCGTCCCCTCCCTCCGAGAAGGTACGTGGCGACTTAGCTCTCGCAGCTCTCTAGATCTTTCACTCTTTAGCTCTCTCAAAAATTTCCTGTTTGCTGACTTAAGCATTGGAGTGCCCACCCAAGTAAAGCAACTTAGACACTCAGATACTGTCTTTTCGCAGGTCGACCTGGCGAACTCTCCAGCTCGGCATCCGAGTTGCCCTCTAGCAAGGAGTTGCCAGACCGTGCATCATCAATAATCATTATGAATTTTTTTTTTTTTGTTTTGACCTGAACAATACTATCTTCTAATGTAGGATTTTGGATACACGCCTTCATTTTTGCCCATCATGCTTAATTCTATAGGTRACTTCTTCCTCAAGTATCTCCCTTGTTGTTGATTATCAAATCAAGGTAATAAACAAACATCACACTGATATATCTCTTGGCATCAAATCTTTAATATCCCCTTATTTCTATTCTTATCATTACTGATTTTGCATTGATATATATATTTTGTTTTAGTCCTACTTGTTTGTTCGTTGGTTTAACCAGATGATCTTGTTGACAAATTAAGCAATGTAAATATTACATGTAGGAAAATTTGTATCGCATTATTCTGGATGCTCCTAGTTACAAAGTTTAAATTTTCGATACGATACTCCCGATACGTGGTGTATCGTATCGTATCTTTGAAAAACATTTATGGGATATGCATGGAAATCGGGAGTCTCGTATTTTTCATGCATATCAGATTGTATAGGGGGTGTATCAGGGCGTATTGGTAGTGATCGATGAAAAGGATAATACCAAAACTTGAAAAAAAAGGGGAAAAGCAAGCTTCTTTTCCCTGAAATAATGTTTTTTCTCACCCCCAAATGACTCTAAAACTCCAAACCTCATTCCCAGAGTGCTAGATTTGCAAGAAAGTGTGAATCATTAAATTTTTTGAAGATTTTTCAAATTTTGAAAAAATATTGCAAAAATAGGTTTTTTTTTTTCAATTTTTTAATATATTGTGATTTTTTTTCTTGAATGTTTAAATTTATGTTGATCTACATTTCTTACATTCAAAATCATAATTTTTTGTGTTATTAGTAGATTTATGGAAATTTCATGAAAATATTTGGGAAAATATAAATTAACAAAAAATTTGAAAATATAATTTTTTCTCTGCCTATAAAGACTAAATATGTTTTATCTATCATATCCATAGAGCAATTGAAATTTCTTCTTTAATATATATATATTTTTTATTTTTTATATTTTTAGAATTAAAAAAATAAATAATAATTAATTATATTTTATCATTTGATCACAAAAATTGAAAATATTATAATTCTATGGATAATCTATCATATATATAGACCAATTGAAATTTCTTGTTTAATAATTATTTTTTATTTTTATATTTTTAGAATTAAAAAATAAATATTATATTTTATCATTTGATTACAATGATTGAATGTATTATAATTCTATAGATGATCTATCATATCCACAAAGCAATTGAACTTTCTTCTTTAATAACTATTTTTTGAATATATTATATAATGTTTATTTATTTTTTATAATTTTTGGAAATAAATAATTCTTATTTATATTTTCATTTAGAAGTTGTGCCAATGCATGTTTTATGGTTGGATAGAAGAGTTGGGTTTTTTCCATCCCATAAAACATTAAAACTTAAGAATTATAATTTATAAATTATAATTAACCATATGATTTTTAATGAAATTATAATTAACTACAATATATTTCTTCATAAAACCATCAAATTATATTAATTAATTGTATATACACCTCATTGAGGTCTTATATTTAGTGTTGTTGATGTATTTTTTTATTTATTAAAATATTTATATTGTTTCCAAGCATATCTATGCATATCTTAGTTTTTCTCCGATGCACATACGTATCAAAGGTGTATCTCGATGTATCTCTTAAAATTGCCTTTCCGATACATTTAACGTTTTCCATACTTTGAACATTGCCTACTTAGACAGAAAATCAACTGCTTTAGATTTGGAACTGATTTTAATGAGCTTGGCCGCTTGGGTAATGCTTTGCTTAATATTCAGGTCCAGTGGGCACTGAATAAAATTAGTCACACTATTGGGCTTGTAGGCTTAGGCCTAGTTAATCATCTTCCAGCCAGTGACGATGAGGCTGTGGTTGGGCACTTGGGCTTGATAGGAATTCAACCAAACTTCTGCTTCTCATTGCTCATTAGTAGTCATGATTCTTAGAAAGACAGCTTTACATGTAGGATTAGGACGTGTATGTAGAGCTGTTCCGGTGCATGGATTGGCTTAGTATTATGAGTTGAACCGTAGATCGGTAGATGGTTCCAACTCACATGAATACTCACTCGTAATTCGTAAACGAGTTGATGCACCTCTTGATTTCCCAGCCTGGCAGCCGCAGGAGTTCAAATCCGCCCCTCACATACAAGATAGAAACAAGGTTAGAGGAATTCAAAATTAGAAATGACCATCATACCCTTTACAGTATACCTATGTGAGAGTAAATTCGGAGGATGTCCTTGTAATTTCAGAGTTAACCTATTCAATGCCTCTCTCTATATAAGAATCAAAACTAGGGTTTTACGGTCCTTCCCCCCGGACACGGAGTGCGAGTTGCGAGCAAGCGGCCTCAACGTCTTCTTTCTTCTCTCACTCGCGCTCTCCGATCTCTACGCAGGTACCCTAATCTGCGTTTCCCATGAGATCTCTATTTGGATGCACAGTTATCTCTTCTGGCTCATATCTTGTCTCTTGAAGGCTTTCCTTTGTCTCAGAAATCAGTCCATATATTTCATTCGCTTGTTTACTTGCGTGTACTGTATACGTATATGGTGTTTCTTGACAGACGATTCCTTTTTCTGGTGTTTCGATTACATAGATAATGGTGAATCTGGTTTTGTGCTATGGATATATGTTCTGTTCTTGTTTGAAGGCCTCACTTTTATGATTTTCAATAGTTCTCCTTGCATATTGAAGATTGAGACAACTCCTTTATCTTCTTGATAATTAGAATTAAATCTTGTTTGGGTTAACTTAGATCAGTACATTGCCAGTTTCCTTGTCTACGTGAATATGCGCAAACATGGTGCCAATCGTTTTCCTTAGGAAATTTAATTGAACGATAATTCTTGTGATAATGGCGTACAGATGGTAATTGCTTGGTTATCTAGTGGCAATTTTCAACATGTATGGGAGAAGTTTTGAGCCTTATGCGTGTTCTGGCGTTATGTGGGCACCTCAAGACTAAAAGGTCTGCCATGAACGCTAATTGGACCCGCATGTTGACAATTAATTGAGTACAAGTCAATAAAAAATATCGGCATTTAGGATTCATTGACAATCTATCCCTAGAAAAAATACGTGCAGTAAGGTCCTTGGAGGGTAACTCATCTTCTCCATGAAATTAGTGAGATATCTGCATCCCTTGGGTGTAGTTACAGATGGATCCCAAGAGAACTGAACCAGTTGGCTGACTCTTTGGCTAAATCTTGATTGGGGAAGGTTATTTTTTGTATCGTGCAAATATTTACCTATTGCTTGTTTGGGCCTTTGTTTATTTATATATTTAATTTTGTTGTAGAGCCCTTTTAGTGCATCATCTCATTTACATACTTTTTTTTAATGAATAATGTGCAAATGCTTTGATTTCCCAAAAGCTTTGTGAACTGTGAAGGCTCTATTTGTATCAAAAGCAGTGGAAAAGTTTGCATCCAGAATTATTATGTATGAGATCATTAAAATAGTTAAATTTTTATGTATGGCCATGACTCTGTGCTATTATCTTAGAGAATGTAAAACCGTCCATGCCCATGGGTTTAGCCCATGCTCAACAACTTTTGAATTTTCTGTCTAAAGTGCTCTTCACTGAGGCTGTTTAATGTCATTATGGTTGCTTCGATGCATGGACTCCTAGCTTGAAGTGCATCATGAAGATGCTATTTGTGTTGTCTTGCTGTTTAAAGAATTTTGCTGCCCTAATGAACCATGGTTGATTGGGAATGCCTTTAGCTTGCTATCCTATTAGGGTATGTGTTTGATATGTATCAAGCGGATATCTCATTTGGAGATTGGTTGTACCAATGGTTGAATATGTTTACTAGCAATAGAACTAATTAACTTCTGGTTCTAGGTCTTGGTTCTCATGGTCCAATTGTCCAGTCTGATCTGAGTCCTAAAACACTGGTTGAGCTTTACGCTAGTACTTGCTTCACTTCTCATTTTATTTTAGCATTAGCTATATCCTGAAAGTAGAGGCTAGTAGGTGCAACCTAGATGAGCCAGAAAGTGGCATCACATGTTATAGATGTGCAGAAAAATAAACTAAATGATGCTTGTGCTCTTATTGTTTCTTGAAGTGGGCATCTTCTAACACAAACAGAAACAAAGACCTTTAATCAAATTTCAAATATGGTTATGATGCCTTTATAGTTTACTTTTTTTGTTTCATATCGACTGGCTTAATTTCAAAATTTGGTTCCAAAGTGCTGCTCATTTCATATTTGAGATTGCACTGCCACATTACTTTTCTAATGGTCGACTTTCTCCTCATATTCAACCTTGCTAAAATGATACAACTCTGATTATGCTTCATTGACTCTGCAACTTTAATTGTGCTATTTTTGGTTTGTATTTGAACGACTTACGGCTAACAACCAATTCCTTTGTTTGACTTCATTTTGCCCACCACCCACAACACAGGATGGATTCTCAGGTGAAACTTGCCATCGTGGTGAAGGTAATGGGACGAACAGGGTCAAGGGGGCAGGTGACTCAGGTTAGAGTCAAGTTTATGGATGACCAGAACAGGCTTATCATGAGGAACGCCAAAGGGCCTGTCAGGGAGGGTGATATCCTCACCTTGCTCGAATCCGAAAGGGAAGCTAGGAGGTTGCACTGAGGCCATGGACATGACAATATTCCCCTCTTATTCTCTTAAAGTGATTTTTTATTTTTTTTTGTCTTAGGTCTATCTCCATTTCAATGCAAATTTTGAATTTACACTAGTACATTTTTGGTTCGAGGAGAACTCACAATTTGTTCATCTTCCTGTTTTTTTGGTGCCTTTATTAGTTTATCCAACACCTTCATTAGTTCAGCTARCACATGCACCTCCAGTTTCATTACCCGAGCCACTACGGGCAACCTCACAAAAATATCAACGTCGACGGATGATAGTTGACTCTAAACATCCTCAACCCACACCGCTATCTATCACTCCTTCTGAAACTCCAGATTCGGTAGATACAGTTCTAGGTATTCCTCTTGAGCCTGAGCCTGAGCCTGCTATGTTTTCTGATGATAATGTTCTTGTCTCTAACACCATTGTTGTAGCTGATCCCACTGACCTTAATTTTCCCATTGCACTTCGTAAGGGGAAGAGAAAGTGTACAGCCCATTGCATTTCACACCATCTTTCCTATAGTGCCTTATCACTCTCCTATTGTGCTTTTCTTTCTTCCTTGGGTTCTTTGTCTATACCTAGGAATGTTATTGAGGCTCTCTTCAAACCTAAGTGGAAAATAGCCATGCAAGATTAGATGGATGCTTTGGTTAAAAACCAAACTTGGGAAATAGTTGATCTCCCCCAGACAAGGAGATAGTTGGATGTAGATGGGTATTTGCAGTGAAGTATAGGGCTGATGGCAAGATAGAGAGATACAAGGCAAGGTTGGTATTAAAAAGGGTATACTCAGACCTATGGTGTTGATTATCTGGGAACTTTTGCACTAGTAGCTAAGATGAGTTTAGTTCGTATCCTTTTATCTTTAGCAGCCACCTATTCATGGCCTTTGTTGTAGTTTGATGTCAAAAATGTCTTCTTCAATGGTGATTTACAGGAGGAGGTATATATGGACATTCTAGCAGGCTTTTATGAGACTGTTGATAAGGGAAAGGTGTGCAGACTCGGAAAATCTCTGTATGGACTGAAACAGTCACCTAGGGCTTGGTTTGACAGGTTCAGAGGGGCACTCATTTGTTTTGGATACACACAGACACAACTTGATCATACTCACTTTGTGAAGAGGAGAGATGTTCAGGTGTCAATTCTGATTGTGTATGTGGATGATATAGTGGTGATAGGAAATGATTTGGAGGAGATTGATAATCTCAAAAAATCATTGCAACAAGAATTTGAGATCAAAGATCTTGGTGAGCTCAAATACTTCTTGGGGATTGAAGTTGCAAGATCCAAGCATGGGATCTTCTTTTCACAAAGGAAGTATGTATTTGACCTATCGTGGGAGACTGGGAAGCTGGGGACCAATCCAATAGACACTCCTATTGATCCAAATCATAGAATTAATGGTGTGGATGGTGAGTTGGTAAAGGATGCAGGGAGATATCAAAGAATGGTGGGCCGATTGCTGTATTTGTGTATGACATGACCAGATATTTCTTATGTTGTCAGTGTTGTGAGTCAGTACATGCATGCACCTCGGGTTCAGCACTGGGAAGGTATTGAGAGGATACTTGCATATTTGAAGAAGCACCCTAGCAGAGGCATTATTTTCTCAAATCATGAGAATTTGAAGCTATAGTCTTGTACAAATGTAGATTGGGCAGGATGCTTAGATGACAGGAGGTCTACATCAGGAGTGTGTACCTTTGTAGGGGGAAACTTGATCTCCTGGAAGAGTAAGAAGCAAGCGGTTGTGGCAAGGTCAAGTGCAGAGGCTGAGTAGATCCATGGCTCATGGTGTCTCAGAACTTCTTTGGGTTATATCTCTCTTGAGTGAGATTGGGGTGAAAGCAGAGGAACCTATGATGTTATACTATGACAATTAGGCTGCAATCAATATTATCCACAATCCAATTCAGCATGATAGGACAAAACACATTGAAGTTGATAGACACTTTATAAGAGAAAGGGTAACAACYGGAGAAGTCTGTTTGCCTTATGTCTCTTCARAGTTGCAGCTGGCTGATGTTCTYACTAAAGGGGTGGCAAAGAACAAGCTTGAACATGATCTAYGCAAGTTGGGAATGTGTGACATTTACTCCCAACTTGAGGGGGAGTGTTGAAGATTAATCAGTTTTATGATGTTTTTTATGAGTAGATGTTTTATGTTAGTAGTTATGTGAGTCCAAATTTTATTATATTTTTGTGTCTTATATATGCTGTTTTATGTCTTGCCGCCCTATAAGGGCATAGTTGTTTTTGTACTACTCTATTATTTTTAGTATAAATAATAAGTGAAGGGGGTGGCCAGATTATTGCTCTCTTTTCTTTCAACTTCTCTTCTCCTTCTCTCTTCAAGAAACTACTTTTCTTTCATATTTTTTTTTAATTCAGCAGATTTCTACTAACTTCATATAAACATATAGTAATATTATGGTTTTGGTTCTAATTGGATCAGATTGAACCAGGGTGAATCCCCACCTTTAAGTTTCAAACCCAGCTAAATGGGATTTGATTTTGGATTCAGTTCGGACAACCAGTCATGCCTACTTTTGGCAGTCCTAATCATGAAATTATCTGGATTTTCAAAGGAAAAGAGAACAAATTTTGGTATTTAACAACTCTTTTTTCTTCCTAAAACTCGAAACAGGGGAAGTACGAAGTAATGGCAGCAACATCAGCGACATACCCACCACCACCACCATACTACAGGCTCTACAAGGATTACCTCCAAAACCCTAAATTGGCTTCTGAGCCCCCCCCTCCAATTCAAGGCACCTACATGCTCTATGGTGGCACCTACACGGTCTGTTCTCTGTTTTTCTTCTTAAACTTTGTTATCATATTTTTATTGTTTACTTTCTTCTTGGGTCTCTCTCATTTCAGAGTAATGATTAGGGTTTATTTAGATGTAAATATGTGGGTTCTGTTTACTTAATGCTGTTACTGAGCTTTAGTTTTGATTTTTTTGTTATTTTTCTTTAATTTTAATTTTATATGAATACCTTGCATTTCATTTTGAAATTCTATGTTATTTAGATGTGCATTGATGTATTGGTTAATTATTTCTTGTTTTTGAACTCTTTGTGCATGCTTACTCCGCTAAGCTCAGTCTTTTAGAAATTTCTAATCATTCCATAAATTTAGAGGCATTTTGTATTTGAACTTTCATCGATATACTGAGTGACTCAGATTTAGTAGGTTTCTTTTGATGTTAACTTCTTTCCTTGTTGGATCAGATTTGCAAGTTATCTTTTTGTAAATTGCATTTGTATCTTTGTGTGCTATATATACTTCATTTACTTCAGATTGTTTGGACTTGTTGCATTGTCACCACAGACTGATGATGTACTTCCTAGCTTGGAAGAGCAAGGAGTTCGTCAACTTTATCCAAAAGGGCCCAATATCGGTACATTTCAGTTCATTTCTTCTTATTTGTAATACTATTTGAAGACAAATTGGCTTAATTTCTTTTTCTTTCCCAGATTTGTTCCATCTAAATAAAAACTATGTTTGTGGCTGGCGGAATGTAGAGTCTGAACAATTCAGGCCATCCTAAAAAAATATGTATCCGTATATATGGTTTTTATGGGAAACGGTAACTTTCACTAATCTTTAAGGAAACTTAGTACAACTGTCAACCTTCATAGGCAAGGTGATCCTCAACATAAAAACAGTTTACAAACATGCCCAGAAAAGGTTTTCCCTACTAACTCCTTGCTTTGCTAAGGTACCGGCCATTGCATTGGCCTAGTCCATTTAAAATGTACTTCAAGCTCCGTTGTTAGGTGCATAATTTCCCTTATAGGTTGTCTAAGAGACCAAGTGCCCAAACTGTTTGTTTGCATCCAACCTACTACCAATTTAAAATCTCCCTCCACCTCCAATTGTTAAAAACCCAGTTGTTTAGCCAATTTGGGCCCCTGTAGGAGTGCCAAAACTTCTACTCTAAGAGAGTCCCCCAAACCTACCGGGCCAGAAAACAGGGCCATGACTCTTCCTTCCCCATCTCTAAATATGCCCCCAATTCCAGAGGGGCCAGGATTACCTGTAGAGCTGCCGTCAAAATTCAACTTCACACCGAAAAGTAAAGGAGGGGGTACCAATCCTCTTTAAGAGTTATAGAACAGGAAGAGCTCGCTACTGTTCTCCAACCTCTAACCATATCATCTACGGAGAAGTCTTTGAACAGGTCCAACGATTTCAGCCAATGTATAACCTTGATGGTGATCCCTTTTATGAGTTCATGTGCTGTTTTTTATTGTCCTTGGAAAACTCTGTTATTTCTCTCTTCCCACACTGCCCAAATGATTGCTGCCCTTGTTGTTCTCCCCATCACCCTTCCTCTTTCATTGGTTGTCAGAAAAAAAGTTAGATTCAAAAAGATCCGCCATGCTTGTAAGAGGATTCCACCTGCACCCAAAGAGAGAGGAGAACCAATCCTAAATAAGAGTAACAAGAGGACAGGAGATTAGTAGATGATTTACTGTCTCACCACTCTTCAAGCACAGGGTTACAAACTTGGGGATAAGCACCAATTTGGTCATTTTCTTCGAAGCATATCTTAAGTGTTAATTTTTAGGAGAACCACTTCCCAACAAAAAGGCCCTCACCTTTGGAGGTACGGAGCACACCTCACTTCTTTTACAGGAAAAAAGGAAACCAAGTTGGAAGATTGCAACAAATCATTGAAAAATGAAAAGCAAGAAAAACAACTTGAGGAGACTTCTAACCAAATTCTACTATCAAGACAAGATTGGTCCAAAAACACCGAGTTTAGAAGAAAAAAAAGTTCATCTGCAAGCCCTCCTTTTGAATCCCTCAACCCTCTCCTGCAGATAGATGCTTTCAGTCTAACTTTGTTCTTCACCTCTAACACATGGCCATAATAGGAGTTTTTTGTTATCATTAATTATGTATTTTTCCAGTATTTATCAATGTGAACAAACAAAACAATAAATAAATATGGACAAGCAAATCCAAGTTTCACTTGCTTTGAACTTGAGCATGTTGTGTGCTGTGCATGAAAACTTCCTGGGGCATTTTTTATTGTGTTGGTGTCACCTAGAAAAGAAAAGGGAAAATAAAGGAAATTTGTTATTATTGGCATTTCTTTTATTTAATAACTTGGACATGGTAGATCACTTGTATAACCGTCTTCAATAATGAAATTCAAACAGTGCTTGTTAATTGTTATGTGACTAACTTCTCTTTTTTCCCAGACTTCAAGAAAGAACTAAGATCACTGAACAGAGAATTGCAGCTACATATTTTGGAGCTTGCAGATGTTCTTGTTGAGAGGCCATCTCAATATGCAAGGAGAGTGGAGGACATATCTCTTATATTTAAAAACTTACACCACCTTCTTAATTCATTGCGTCCTCACCAGGTAGAAATTTTCCCTTTAATTGTCTAACAATTTTTTTTTAATTCTACTTCTTTTAATTTGCCTTTTGTTTTCTTCACAGGCCAGGGCAACGCTGATTCACATACTAGAACTACAGATACAACGTCGAAAACAAGCAGTGGAAGACATCAGAAGGTATCTTGATTCAATGTTTTGTTGGAAATATCAAGTCCTTTCAACCACAGATCTAATAATCTCAATACTGGCCTTGTCCATGAGCTTATAGCATTTAGCAACCAATGTAGACATCCTTCTTGGTTACTTTCTCATCACCCCATCATACTGAGGTTGACTTTTGCCTTTTAGTTCACTGGACAGCTAACAAAATTGATGACTTAGATGAGAAGTACATGTATGGATGCTATTGCATCTAAATATATTTTGAAAAAAAAAATCCTCTGCGTATTGGGGTTGTTATTTTGTATATTTATATGTCTTTTTGGAGGGGTGGAGGATGGGGGTGGGGATGATAGGAAAGTCCCCCTATCCTAAATCCTAATAGACCCCTCCCCACTAGTGCTAGAATTGCCTTTGTTGCTTTATTATCGAGTGTGTGCAACGCAAGCACCTATAATTATGTTGTCATTTATGAGTAATAACCTTTGATTGTTCTTTTGCTTCTTTAGAAGAAGAGAAGAAGCTCAAAGGCTGCTTAAGGAGTCACTTGGGACCTTGGATGGCCACTAGCACAAATCAGTATATATGAGGCTGTGCTTTTAAGAGATCTTGTGGGTTTGACATAAGCAGATTTCTTACGCCTACCAATGGGGACCTCAGATTTCTCTCATTTCTACCAGTTGCAGCATCTCCGGATATGCCTTATGCTTGAAATTTCTTGGTATATAGGAGAGACTTAGCCAACCAATGTAATAAATCTATAGGAAGGAATAACAAAAATGGGCCATTTGCCATATTTGTTGGAATGTTATACTGTGGACATCCCATGCAATTTGAATGGACAGGTATCCTGTATGCGGCAGCTGAACCAGCAGCATTCATGTTGCATTTTTGTCAACCCCATAGGCTGCATTGCAGTTTGAACTTTGAAGATGACATTTTCTTGTTATTTGTCAATTATCACATTACAAGATGCCCTTTCATCTCTCCCCATTATTTCTTTTGGTAGAAAGCTGAGAAAGAATAACAGAAAACAGAAAAAAAACTAACAAACAAGAAAAAAACAGATTAAGAAAAAGAGGAAAAAACTGCAGAATCTTCTGCTAGAGGCCCTATCAGCCAGTTCGGGGGAGAGTTCCAAGAACCTGAAACTCCATCCTTTCCTTTTGAAGCAAGAATATGAGCGGACTTGTTAGCAGTCCTGTTAATCCAGATGAACCTGCAATTCAAACCTGCTATGTTATAATAATCTGATAAGAGGCCAAGCCTCTGGAGGGCTTTCAAAAGTTCTCTGATTTAGGATAGATGCTAGAGTCCTGGAGTCACAGTAAATCAACAGGTTTGAGAAACCTCTGCTGGTGGCCCACATACTATTCACAGATAGCTACTAGTTCAGCATATATAGCAGATTTTGCTTTAGGGGCCACAGTTTGCAGTTAAAAGAGAACCAGAATCAATCTTGTACTATAAAACCAAAGCCACTTGAACCATCCTTTGAGAATCCATCATCTGTAAAAGCTGTACAAAACGGACCCAAAAAATTCTGAGAATGGTAATTTTCACATCCTTTGTAGAACCTCTAAATACCAGTGTTGATGTTGGTAGGGACACATTATTGTTGGGGATTGTAGTGTTTGGCTTTCCGACAGCGGTAATGATTGGGAATCCTTAGCAAATCCAAGTTCTTGCCTGGGCTTAAGAAAGTGGTTTAGCCAAACCTGCGCTTAGCACCTTTGCTAAGGACTCTAGTCCCGGGTTCCAACCCTGAAGTTGAATACTAAGCATTTGTAGTATTATCAAATATCAAATAAAAAAAAAGGCAGAATGCTAAGCATATGTAATATTTTATGGGATCATTTACTAGAACACCTCTTATGGTTTCATTTTATAGTTTTCATGGATTTACTTAAACCTATTTTATAGTTTTCATTTTACTAAAGCATTTTCTATAGTTTGTAACCTTTTTACTTAATTGACCTTTCACCAATAAGTGTTTCTTTTGCCATCTGAAAATAGTAACATGATCACCTGTTGGTGTTAACTTTCCCATAGTATTAAAATAAAAAGCAAATAGTAACGTAATCACCTAAACTAAATGGAAAATGTTCAAAGGCATGGAGAAATGATTGTTTATTTCAAAAGTATCTTTAACATTTCTTCATTCAAAAAACAAAATTGACCAAATAGAGCCAAATTGAATGACTGCTTGTGTCAACTAGGGGCTAAAGTGGTATTTTTATTTTATTTTGATTAAATTTATTAAAATGGATATTTCGGTCAAAACTGTTATTTTCCACTGTTATATAATGAAAGGTCGATTAAATAAATAGGTTGCAAATTATAGGCAATGTTTTAGTAAAGTGAAAACTATAAGGTAGGTTTAAGTAAATTCATGAAACTATAGGGGGTGTTTTGTAAAGGACCYTATTTTATGCTATATGATATATAATATATGTATAAGTAAATGTTACACATTGTATATTATAAAATATAATAAAGGTCTTGAGAGTAGGAACAACAATTTCCACACTATCCTATGGATATCTGCCCTACCTACCCCGTCAAGACGGGTTTTATTGTTTGAAAAGTAGATTTTAGGGTAGAGATTGGTTTTGGGATTTTACAACTTGTATGGATATGGGTAGGGTGTGTCAATTAGGCTAAATTTGACTCTCCTGAACAATTTATGGCTTATGTTTTTCTTTAGTCAGGATCTGCCCCTTACATTGACCTCACAACATGTATCAGCTGTACATCGGGAATATCTCCAATACTTGTATGTCATTATTCATGGGAGATGTTCCCAATACATGGTTGGGTGTAGCTGTGAGGAGCATATCCCAATTCGTTTTTCTTATATGCTTCAATCATTGGAATTTTTTATGTTTGTTGATGTTATTTTGCTTCTTTGTTGCTTATATATAATGCATGGTGAATAACGGGAAATTAGATGTGGGTTTGGACCTGACTTGCCAATCCACCCCACCCCACCTGCAAATATGGGGAGGGTAGAGTTGGGAAAGGGTTGCATTTTTGTGTGTAGAGAGGGTTTGGATTCTAAAAATCCAACCCGCCGCTATGCATTTGGGGGAGGGTACAGATTGGGAGGTTTGGGGAGACAAAGAGGGTCTAGAATTTATAAAACTCTCCAAGAAGCTGCCTTGTTGCCATCCCTGTTTAAGGGTGAACATAAGGTTTGTTTGGTTCATTTCCAATGCAAAACTTGGATCCTACCCTGTAGGGATTTGTTGTAGGTTCATGGAATCGAAACCTACCCTTGTTGGTTGGTTCTGGTCAATAATAAAAATAAAAATAATAAATAATGATGATGATAATAATAATAATAGTTAAAAACTTATATTATCTTTATTGATTAAATTGTGTAATTTAATATATAGAGTATCATAATATATTAATATGTGGTTCAAAATTTATCATTAAAGGTGCAATGTGGGCCAAGTTGGGAAAATAAACTTGCCTTGAAATAAATCTCGAAATATGAGATTGTAAAAATTTGAACCCAAGCATTCATGGTTTCAAAGATCAGTCTTAGTAGACCATGAGTCATTGAAGTGATTTGATAATTTTTCCTCACTTTAATATTTGAATGTATATAATAAATAATGTAAAAGGTAAAATTTACAAAATTTAAATTATAATGATAAATTTGAACTAAGTATTAATATATTATGATAATTTATAGATTAAATTGCTCAATTTAATCAATAAAGGTGATATAAGTTTTGAATTATGTATTATTATTATTATTGGAAATCAAGTTTTCAAAGAATAATCTTTTTTTTTGAAGGAGGTAAAGAAAGAACAGATTCCATAGATAGACCCTGGAACTGGCCTTAGAACCACCAAAGCCAAAACCAATCCTAGAACCAATCTTAACAGGATAGGCTCCAGTTCCAACAATCTGAAACTCTCTATAAGGTAGGTTCTAGGTTCCGCCTTGCAACTGAACCGAACCAACCCATGTCATGTTAACCCCTACTTCTAGTATTCTATACCATTCTAATTTTTCTTCAGGTTTTCTGGTTGAGAGCATGGACCCACCAATAATGAAGTGTTAAGATGTCAGCCCATGCAAGGGGTGTAGGAAGGATGCAAACTCAATGGTTGGTTGGTGTGGAGTAGTTGGAACTTGGAGCTAGCAATTAAATGGAGCCTTTTTAACTTTATCACAACTACATGTGAGTCACCAAAGCAAAACCAAGCCTTCATCATTGATAGAAACATTGAATTCGTAAAGCTTACCGCATTAAACTCTGGCACGGCAATTTGGTTGAGATGCTTTTATCGCCATTGATGCCCAAAAGTAGAAAAGTTGATGTACAGTGATGTCAAAATCCTCCACAGGACCACAACTCTACTCTGCCAATCAACTTCACTCTCCTTCTCAGTATAATATATTCCACACCTGATTGACCCCGTTCACACCTTCATAGTTTGGTCTTATTCGTTTTTTGGTACCCGGGAAAATGATTCCCAGGCAAGAGTTAGTCAGGTAAATTTCAGTGATGTTTACTGAGGTAAAAACTTTGATGGAAGATTTTTAGGTTTTGGGCAGCAATTTATCCACTCCTAGGATGAAACAAATAATTTTTCGGTGAAACCCATTATATTAGCACTCAAATGTGGTGAAATTGATCAATTACCCGATTGATCAATTTACTTCGGTGAGATATCTGCAAACGAACGAGGCCTTTGTATTTCCAGCAGAAGTAACTCCAACCTATGACTAAACAACCGGCTGGACCCAAGGGTTAGGGAACCATATGACTAAGCAAGTGTAGGTTTTCTGGGGACTGCCCTGAACAATGTCAGTGTTGAACTGGTAAGTTAAAAGCTAGATTTAGCTTTTTCACCAGTTAAGCTGCCATTTATGATGTCTAGCAAGCAGCCCCTTTCACTGCCTCCCTGTTTGGTTTGGCTGTGCCTTGTGAGAACAAATATATTTTGGGTGTTTCTATTGCTGCTCCTCCATGTTAATTGTAAGGGGGTGTTTATCTATTATTGGGTTGAAATAATTGGCCAGGTCAACATTGTGGCCAAAAACTATATTTATTTATTTATTTTATGCTCAAAAGTTCTTGCATGAATCCTATTGTAGAAACCATGGTTTTCAAAATCGAACCGGAAAAACCGGGAACTGGTCACCTGACCAATTCCGTTTTCCCCCAAAACCACTTTTTTCCTCAAAGTCGTTGATTTTGGTCAGTAAATCGCTGAACCGACTGGTTAATTGTTTGAATCGTTCGAACGGTTTTGACCGTTTTTCAATTTTTTTTTTGTCAAAACGAGATGACCATTCAGATCAAACGGTAGGACCGTTTGAACCAGTAACTGGACCCCTGACCGGTTCGGTTTTAAAGTCATGGTAGAAACATCAAATTTACTAAAAGTATCCTCGCAATAGCAAAAAGTGGAGTTACAATAGTCTAACTCTACATTTTTGCTAGTTCTAACTTTGGATAAGGAAGTGCATATAGGATCTATTTATGTCAGATGGGTATTAAGAAACTCAATCAAAATTTCTCTTAAAAAATCAATGAAAGCATTTGTTCAGTTAAACATTCATTAATGCTGCGTTTGGAAACGATGTAAATAGAGTGTAAATCCCAATTCAGGGTAAATCTGCACTCTGGTTCATTTTTGACTGTGTTTGACAATATTACATTTTTGCATTGACAAATTACATACCAATGCATATTTACATAGATAATAAGATGTAAAAGTATATTAATAAAAAAGAAGTAAATTTGCATTCAAGTGGGCTTTTGATAAAAAAAAAAGGGGCTTTTATGATTCAGTTCTCCCCTAGGTGGAGCTAGGATGTCCTAGGGGTGGACTGAATCCTGCCCATGGATTGATGTCAAATTCACAGGCAGGATGTGGTTTATAGGCTGCAAAAAATATCTCCGAGGGGGATTGCAGTCCAAAAATCCCTAAAAAAAACTATGCTTTATTGGAATTCGTGTTTGCATCCATTACAGCTAAAAGTCTCTTTGGTAAGAAGGTAAATTTGTCAATACAAACTAAACCAACTTTGAAATTTATATGAACCATTTTATACATGAAGATTATTCATGAAATTTATATGAACCTTGTCAATACAAACTAAATTTTATACATGAAGATTATTCATGAAACTTTGTCAATACAAACTAAACCAACTTTATTGAGTTATAACCATTTTATACATGAAATTTATATGAACCATTCAGATCAAAATTTATATGAACCATCCCTAAAAAAACGCAGCCTAAACATTTAAACTAGAAGATTATTCATGAAGCTGTCATACATAAAAGTTTTGGGATGCTTATTATGTGTCTTTTGTGGCGTTGGTTACAGAAGGAAAGAAATGTGAATTAAGGAAGTTTCTCTACATTAAATTGCTCTTGGTCACTAAAAATATAAGATTTATCGTGCTATTAGAAGAGATGCAGAGTCATTTCTCATATCCTCAAAAAAAAAAAAATCAAGCAATTTTGCTTTGACTTAGCACATAAGTTAAAGGCCAACAGCTTGGTCTAGATGCATTAGATGAACCAGATTGGAAAAAACATTGATTAGAAAGAACAGCATTTGAAGACTGTTGAGGACAAGCTACTTCCAGATAGTGAATTGTCTAGTAACAAATTAACAGAAAATAGATGCTAATTAGTCATTGTCCAAACGGATGAAATGATCATAATTCCCAACTCTTTTTTATGGAAAGATGTTTGTGTGCCTTTTCATTTTCATTGCGCAATAATGGATTCAGATGCAAAAAGAAATTTCTAGTTATAACTCAATTACAAACAGTTTGGTCCAAGGTATCCATCAAGAAGAGAAACCAAAAAGTGAATATCTTATCTTGATAAAGCTTACAACAAAGCTGAGTTAATAAGAATTTGTGGGTTTCAGAGATGATGAACAGCTTTAATTTTTCATACTTTTTAAGTTTAAAAAGAGAGAAAATTACAGGAGAACAAGTGGACACACTGCATTTTGGGTTGTTCAGAGGCTATATAAATGGCTTCACTGCAGCTGGACAGACATGTCTACAGTGTATACAATTTCTCATTTAAGATTTTCTGTGGGTATAAATGGATCTACTATATGAACGTGGAGGCCTTGTGGAAGCTCTGAATGCTAGAGTGTATGGGAATGGCACAGAAACCCTGGTTCTGTCTCATGGGTTTGGTTCAGACCAGACTGCATGGCACTACATTCTCCCTTACCTTGCATGCTACTTCAAGGTGGTGGTCTTTGATATGGTCTTCTCAGGGAGCGTCAATCCTCATCTCTACAGTCCCAGAAGATATTCAAGTTACTATTCCTATGCACAAGATCTACAGTGTCTTCTGGATGAGCTCAACGTGACCAGGTCTATCTTCTTGGGTCATTCCATGTCTGCCATGATAGGATGCATAGCTGCAACACAGAGGCCAGACCTCTTCAAACAACTCATCTTACTGGGTGGCTCTCCAAGGTCTCTCTCTCTCTCTCTCTAGATCTCTCTCTTTTGAGCTTCTGTTGTCACTGATTTATGTTTATGTCCACAGGTACCTCAACGCCAAAGGATATTATGGGGGCTTTGAGAGATCAGATATTGAGGCAACCTTAGAAAGCATAAAACAGAATTACTCAAACTGGGTCACAAATTTTGCTCCAAAGGCTATTGGGGTGAATGACAAGGCTGCTATAAAAGCGTTTGAATCCACTTTGGGAAGAATGAAACCTACTGTTGCCTATGATGCAGCAAAAACTGTGTTCTTGAGTGACTACAGACAGGTTCTGAGAAAAGTTGGGGTACCTTGCACCATCATTCAATCTGAGAAGGACATTGTTGTTCCAAAATGGGTTGCATTTTACATGGCAAAAATGCTTGGTGGTACCACCAATGTAAAGATTTTGGATTCAGAAGGCCATTTTCCTCATCTAACAGCTTATCATTTGCTGTTGGGTGTATTAAGGAGAGTTCTTCATATTGACAAGTAGAGATTGAGAGGGGATTTTAATTTAGTAAATTAAAGCAGTGGAAAATGCAGCTTCTCTTCTACTGCATGTGAAGGTGGATTCAGATTATAAGGGTGATCTTAGATGTTGATTATTTTAGAAATAAAGTATATATATCTTTTTAAATTTCTTTGTCCTTTCTCTTTAGACTAAGCCATGTTGGTTATGTAATCTTATGGGTTATAATGTAGCCACAGCAGAGATTAAATTTATTAGTGTGTAATCTCCTAATAATTAAGCTGCTTCACCCATGAATGCTTGATTACCATCGATAATACAGTCAAATGTGAACTTGGGATTAATCATTCAATTTCTCATATTTGCCAATCTTAAGAGCTGAAACCAAGAAATTAATGAATATAAAACTTCTGGTCTATTGATTTGATAATATATGTGTTCTAAGATGGTGTAACGGCCACCAGTTTGACCTACTCCCCAACTGGCTGTGGCTAGGGGTGCAAATTGGGCGGGCTGGGCCAGGATTTTGGTCAACCCAGCCCAACCCTAAGATTTGGGCCTAAGGCCCAAGCCCAGACCGAGCCCAAGGATAATACTGCTCTTCTCAATCCTCCGAGTCTAATCTGCATTGTAATTTGATGTATTCGGGTTGGGCTTTGGTCAAGACTGGTCTCAGGTTGGCTAATAAATTCACTCTAAAATTATCCATGTATGTATGTATTTTTGAATTCACTCACTCACTCTCTCTCTATCTATATGTATGTATATATTTATTTATTTGTGTGTGTGTATTTGGGCCAGGCTTGGGTTGGGACAAGTTTGGGTTGGGCTCAGGCCAGGTTTAGGCTACCTAAGATCTAGGTCCGGGCCTAACCCAAAAAATAAAAAAAGTCCAGAGTTTGGGCACAAACTCGACCCGAGGACCAAAAATCCAAGCCCAACACATGTAAAATTTCAAGCTGGGGAATAAACCGGTTATTGTAGGAAGTGCAAGAAAAATGAGTGTAGGATATTTGGTCTCACATCAGGCTTGAGCTGTTGCATTAGTTGCTCTATTTGTTAACAATTATGGGATTGGGAAATACAACATTTGTGTAGGAAGGTCACAAAACAAGCCAAGTGCTGCTTATTATTTAAGATCACAAGAATATTCTCCATTATATTTTGTGCAAAAAAAAAAAGGATTGAGATGATTTGGTCACATGCATGAAAAACCATATACAACATCATTTACAAGTTGAAGGATTAGAAGAATTAGGGGCAATTCAGGCATATATTGAAATGACCTGGGTGAATTTAATTTAACAATGGATATGGCAAAAAACAAAACAAAATGGTGAAACAAGATTTATATAGTCAACCCTATATAATTGGGACAACGCTTAGATGATGATGATTAACCTTTTATGTTTGTGCTTGTTGAGTAATTCAGTTGGTAAATTGGCATCCCTCCTTTTGAAAAAGGGTTCAACTATGATATGGAAAAGATATGATATCAGAAAAACTTCTGGCTAGTCAATTGGAATCATAAGCGTGGTAGCTAATTAGGTGTTATTTATCAAAGTTCATGGGTGGGTTTTGATTGGTTAAAACTCTTCCCATACCATATATTTTTCGCATCATAGATTTTCCCTTTGAAAAAAAAAATGGTTCATACGTGAATGCGAATGTAGCCTATGATGCTATGTCACGTTTTATCTTATGTTTAGTGTTCAGAAAACCAGAGAGGACCATTCAATTGGACTGGTTGAACCGTGACTCGTGCCTTTGGCCAGTTCGATCATACACCCAAAACTGTATTTTGTTAAAAATTGGTCAAAACTGGTGACCTTGATGGTCAAACCGGAAAACTAGTGACCTAGTCCTAGTTTTAGAAAACTGGCCGATTTTTTGATAATTTTTTTAACACATAAATGCAAATTTCTAAAGGCCATAACTTTATGCTCAGATGTCTGATTGGGGTGATCTTTTTATTTATTTATTTTATTTTGGGTAACTTTTCAAGATCTACATTTTCCGAAGGTGAAAAAGGTGTTTTGCCCCATTATTTTTGCTAAAGAATGCCTTTTTTCTTCAAATATTATTTTTTAATATAAAAATTGAAACTAAAATAAAAAATGTGTTATAGAAGAATATAATTACATATTTTGAATATATGCATATAATTAATATTATTATATACATAATTATATATCATAATTGTGCACATTATATATTATATATAACCTCTGGTTGGACCCTATTGAACCTTTGACCCATGAACCTCTCCCCTTTTTTGGGTAGATATTCGGTCCGRTTTTCTAAACATTGCTTTATAAATGAATCCAAGGAAAAATAGAGATTTCTTCTAGTAGAGAAGGCTCGCCTTTGGTAAAAGGGGTTGCTGCTATTGATACCAAAGTATGCATATTATATGATATTGTACTATTAAAATATTTAATTTTTATGTCTCCCATGCAAATTAAGACAAGTATGAGCACTATATAATATAGATATTATATAATATCTTATTTTCTTAAAATTCATATTTTATCATATTATTTTTGACTGGGCCAGGCTGGGTTTGTTGGGCATAAAAGTTTTAGACTCAGGCTATTGTGTAGGCCTGAAGAATCGGGCCTTGAGGGCTGGATTGATATTGATCACGTCTGCTCCTTTAAGCCCAAAGAATTCTCCAGTGTTGCTATGTAAAATATTAAGAGAAACCATTGATCAGGACACAAAAAAAAAGAGTTTTAGGGTCGTTTGGTCCATAGTTGCAATTAAAATTAGAATAATCTATTCTCATAATTTGTTTGGTTCAAATAGGAATTAGAATGAGAATTAGAATCAATTGGAATGGAATTTTATTCCCAAGGGAGGGAGAGAGAATGGCCATTCCTTCAAATGGGAATCCGGTGGAATATGATCTCTAATAGCAGTTGTTTTAAGTTAATCTATAATGTCATCACCGATAACGGTGACGGTGATGCAGCTTTTAAAGCTAAGACCATTATGCGACCCTTAGCTGTATTTTTTGGTGAAGAGAATGGAGACATTTTACTTGTGATATAAGGAGGGGAAAAGGTTTGATGTAAATCTGCGGAGATGTTCAAAGCTTTGGCGTTAAAGCTGGAAGCATCAGTAGTAGCGAGGTGAGTCTCATCAAGGTGATTTTTGAATCGGACTCTCAGACCTGAATCAAGAACTTGCTATCTCTAGGCCTGATGCAACTTCCTCTTTCTCGCCATATCCTTTTATTTTTTACGCTAAAAAGGCAAAGCTAGCAATCATCCTCAATTCAAAATACAATCAAAATATAAAGCATTAGTAATGAAGTAAGGTGGAGTAGGCCAAGGCCTCATTCGCTTTTTGGTAAGTTACTTGTCCAGGTACTTGCTGGGAAACACTTACCCAGGTAAGTGCATTTACCCATGTTCTTTTATTTCCTAGGTAAATAAGGTGATAACCATTTTAGCTATAAAAATCCATTATTAAAAGGGACATTTTTGTCCCATTCAAGTATTAACAACTGTCCCCCTAGGTGAGAAAGTTATTTACCCACTTAGGAGATGGATACTACTTATCTGGGTAAGTGATACTCATAAAATAAACTTTCCATGATCCCCACATAAATCCAAAAAACGAACATGGGATTCTTGGTCAATGGGAACCAAAAACCCATTGACCAACTTTCCCCCTCTCAAAATCCAAAAAAAAGAATGCCTCCCAAGTGTAAACAGAAGAAATAGAAAGAGCATGTTTTGCTATCAAATGAGGCACATGGTTATCTGAACGGCCAACGAAATGAACTGAGGAATGGGAGTTTTGCTGAAGTATTACCCTGCAATCTACAATGATTGAGAGAATCCACCAATGGACTAGCGAGGAAGACCCCAACAGTGTAGGGAGTTTAAAACTTGTAGAGCATCTCCTTCAAAAGAAACATGATGAAACTGGAATTCAATAGATAATTGAATCTAGAAGGGCCAAAACTTCTATCTCCAGAGAAGCGCAGGGGCCATGTTTAATTGATCTAGCCACTATCAAATTACCAGAGGAATCACGTTCTATAATTCCCGCACCTGTACAAAATTTGCATTTGTAGCTCCATCAAAATTAATTTTTGTATGATTAGAAAGAGACATTTCCAAACAAGAGGAATAGTCTCAACTGGAGTGTCCAAAGAGGAGGGAAGGGAAGAACTTGACTCAGAGTTTAAAAGATGAGCTTCCAAGTCATTAAGTTGAGCACATTAAGATGAGATTAATGCTTCTATGAACTTCTGGATTGACATATTTGAAAACGACTTTACACCTTGCAGTCCAAATATGCCATAGGACAATGCTACACGACTCGATTTTGGTAGAAAAGAGAGGAAATTCCATAAGGGCCTGGTGCTTTCATAGGGCTGATGTCAAATAAAGCTACACGGATTTCATTAGTTATTGGAATTACAGACAACAAGGAATTATCTGAATAAAAAATGTCACTCGACACCACTTCATCTGTTAAGAAAGAAAGATAAGGATTTGTGGAGGAGAATAAATTAGAGTAATAATCACATATCAACCTTTCTATTGAAGCCATGCCATCAGTCCAGGTTCCATCTAGAAACTGTAACCAAGGGTGTCCATGCAAAAGCGAACCGAACCAAGAAACTAAATCGTAAAATGTGGTTAACCGAACCGGTCATTTCGGTTTGGTATTTTTGAAAAAGTAAAGGACAGGTTCAGTTTTTGGTTAACCTACAAAAAAACCCGGCAGTTAATTGAATTGATCGGTATATATTCATTATATATATATATATATATATATATATCAATATATACATATATTATATATCATTTATTATTTATAATATATATTATAAATATAAAAACCAAAAAACTGAAGAGTCAAACCGGTAAAAAACCAAAACAGTTGGACCGGTTAACCAATGTATCGGTTTGGAGAAATGTAAAAACCTATGGTGCCGGTTTAGTTTACAAAAATTACCCATGATTTGATTCACCAAACCATGGACACCCCTAACTGTAACCACTCGATATTATTCTTACGCATTCTATTAGAAGCAACTGAGTGAAAAAATTTAGTATTTTTGTCACCCGAGCTCAACCAATGACATTT